TCTTGGGTAGACCTTTGCTTGCAACTAGAAAGGCCTTAGTTGATGTGGAAGCAGGGGAACTCACCTTCCGAGTGGGTGATAAAAAAGTGGTCTTTCATGTGTGTAAGTCAATGAAGCAGCCCAACTGTACTGAAGTGTGCTCATTTGTGGATCTTGTCACGGCAGTGATAATTGATGATACTAGTGCAATGATCAATGTGGAGGACCTTCTAGAGGCAGTATTGTTGAATCTTGATGTAAATGAGGATGAAGGCTGGGTGGAGTGTGTCAATGCTTTACATGGAATGGGCTCTTACTCTTATGATCCTCGGAAGCTATCTTTGGATCTTGAGAATAGGAAGAATCCACCAACAAAGCCCTCAATCGAGGAACTTCCGGTGTTGGAGTTGAAGCTGTTGCCTCCACACCTCAGGTATGACTTCTTAGGCCCTAGTTCAACTTTGTTGGTTATTCTTTCCTCTTGTCTTGCTAACATGCAGGTAGATGCCACATTGGCGGTGCTCCAAAAGCGGAAGAAGGCAATGGATGGACTTTAGCTGATATTAGGGGAATAAGCCCCGCCTTTTGTATGCACAAGATTATTCTTGAAGATGATGCAAAGCCCTCATTGGAACATCAAACGAGGTTGAATGAGGCAATGCAAGAAGTTGTGAAAAAGGAGGTGATCAAGTGGTTAGACGTCGGGGTTGTATACCCCATCTCTGATAGCTCTTGGAGTTCGTCAGTGTAATGTGTGCCGAAGAAGGGTGGTACGAACGTGGTTACCAATGCGCAGAATGAGTTGATTCCTACCAGAACTGTCACCGTATGGAGGGTGTGCATGGATTACCGTAAGTTGAACAAAGTGGCCCGCAAGGATCACTTTCCATTGCCTTTCCTTGACCAGATGCTTGATAGACTTGCTGGGCGTGCCTTCTACTGTTTCTTGGATGGGTATTCTGGGTACAACCAAATTTTGATTGCTCCGAAAGACTAGGAGAAGACTACCTTCACTTGTCCATATGGTACCTTTGCCTTTTCTAGGATGCCATTCGGGTTGTGTAATGCACCGGCCACATTCCAGCGGTGTATGATGGCTATTTTTACCAACATGGTGGAAGATATTTTGGAGGTGTTCACGGACGACTTTAGTGTTGTGGGTGACTCATTTGATGAATGCTTGAAGAATCTTGATAGGGTGTTGGCCCGGTGTGAAGAAACCAATCTTGTGCTCAATTGGGAAAAATGCCACTTCATGGTTGAGGAGTGCATAGTCCTTGGCCATAAAATTTCAAAACATGGCATAGAGGTGGAAAAAGCTAAAATAGAGGTGATTTCAAGGCTTCCTCCCCCTACTTATGTCAAGGGGTTAGAAGTTTTCTTGGGCATGCGGGGTTCTACCGGAGATTTATCAAGGATTTTTTGAAGGTAGTGAATCCTTTGTGCAAGCTATTGGAAAAGGATGCCAAGTTCGTGTTCGATGAGAGATGTATGCAAGCTTTTGAACTTCTCAAGCACAAGTTGACCACCACTCCTATTATTACCGCACCCAATTGGAGCTTGCCTTTTGAGCTATGTGCGCGCGAGTGATGTTGCGGTTAGGGCGGTTTTGGGTCAAAGAGTGAATAAAATGTTTCATCCGGTGTACTACGCGAGCAAGACAATGAATGATGCCCAAATGAACTACACAGTGACTGAAAAAGTGCTTTTGGCTATTGTGTTTGCAATGGAAAAATTTCAGTGGTATCTCATGGGCGCCAAGGTCATAGTGCATACCGATCATGCCGCTCTTCGGTACTTGATGACGAAAAAAGATTCCAAAGCTAGGTTGATGCGATGGGTCTTGTTATTTCAAGAGTTTGAATTGGAAATTGTGGACCGGAAAGGTAGTGAAAACCAAGTGGCGGACCACTTGTCCCGCTTGGAGGAGGAGGAGCGGCCTCGTGATGGCCTAGAGATCAACGATTCATATCCCGATGAGCAACTACTTTCTGTGTCAGTGAATGATATGCCATGGTTGGCAGATGTTGCTAATTTCCTTGTGACTGGTATAATCCCGTGTGAGCTCTCTTTTAACCAAAGGAGAAGCCTAAACGGGATAGTTTGGATTTCTATTGGGATGTGCCGTACTTGTTCAAGATCTGCACTGACGGTGTGATCTGAAGGTGTGTCCCTAAGAAGGAGCAATTGAGTATCTTAGAGGCTTGTCATTCCTCTCCCTATGGTGGCCATCACGGTGGGGCGAGGACAGCTTCGAAGGCTCTTAGTTGTGGGTTTTACTGGCCAACTTTGTACAAAGATGCAAGTGAACTCCTGAAGAGATGTGACGAATGTCAAAGAGCGGGCGATATTTCGAAGAAGGATGAGATGCCTCTTAACACCATTCTCGAAGTTGATATTTTTGATGTGTGGGGCATAGATTTCATGGGCCCATTTGTTAGTTCGTGTGGCAATACCTTCATTCTAGTGGCAGTTGACTATGTTTCAAAGTGGGTGGAAGCCGTGGCTTTACCCAATAATGGGGCCCGAAGTGTTGTTGCGTTTCTCAGAAAGAGCATTTTTACTAGGTTTGGCACGCCTCGAGCAATTATAAGTGATGGGGGGTCGCATTTTTGTAATAGAGCTTTTGACACCTTGCTTACAAAGTATGGTGTCAATCACAAAGTTTCTACTCCTTATCAACCTCCGGCGAGTGGCTAAGTTGAAGTCTCAAACAGGGAAATCAAGAGTATATTGTAAAAAACGGTCAATGCAAATAGGACCGATTGGTCGAAGAAATTGGATGATGCTCTATGGTCTTATAGGACTGCTTACAAGACTCCGATTGGTATGTCTCCGTACCGGTTGGTGTTTGGGAAAGCTTGCCATCTTCTGGTTGAGTTAGAGCACAAGGCCATGTGGGCTTTGAGGAAGCTGAATCTTGAATGGGATGTGGCAGCGAATTTTCGTGTGGAGAAGCTTAATGAACTTGATGAATTCCGATTCCATGCCTACTCCAGTTCGTCCTTGTATAAGGACAAGATGAAGTACCTTCATGACAAGTATGCTCGTAGCAAGGAGTTCAAAGTGGGTGATTTGGTTCTCTTGTTCAATTCTCGGTTACGTCTATTTCTAGGAAAGCTTAAGTCAAAGTGGAGTGGACCTTTTGAAGTGGTGCTTGTGACTCCGTTGGGTGCACTTGACTTGAAAAACAAAAATGGTGAGATCTTCAGGGTTAATGGGCACAGAGTCAAGCACTATCTTGGCAAGATTGATGACAGCCACGTAGTGGCAATGATCCATCTAAAGTGATTTGATGGTAACCTGCGTCGTGCCGCGACGTTAAATCAGGCGCTTCTTGGGAGGCAACCTATGTGTCTTTCTTTTTGTTTTTCTTTGATTTTCCTTTTACTGTAGGATTAGTTTTTGGACTACCTGGTTTTGAGATGTGTGTAGGGTTGTTTTGATGCAGTGCAGGACCAAGTTGGAAAAATGTGTGCTCTCTGAATTTTGCACTGCGGCTGCATTGCATTTTTCGCGGCCGCAATGGCCTTAGTGCGGGGGCAAATTTTATGCGGCCGCGGTGGGGGTAGGTAACATGGGTCCCAGGTTCTTTTTCTATAAATAGGACCTCAGGCCTTCATTTATACTTTTCGACCCTTTGCTCTCTCAATAGTAAAAAAATCACTGTTCATCAAGCCCTAGCTGTGCAAATTCAATCTCTAATCTTCATTCATCTATTCTACATCTCATTACTGGTACTTTTAATCTTTCCCTAGTTTTTAACCTTGTTTATTTTCTTTTAATTAGTTAGTTTTACTTCTTTTTCTTCTCTTTTTCTTTCAATTTGTAGCGTAGTTTTCCATCATGCCATTTAGATTAGGATTAATTAGTGAAAAATGATGATTAAATACCTAGGGGCTTGATAATGAGTGAACTTAAGCTAAAAATGAGAAAAATATTGAAACCCTAGGTTGGTATTGCTGAGTGAAGTTTTCCGCGGACCGCGGTGGATTTTATGTGGTCAGCAGTGCCTCTTTGCGGTCGCAATGGTGTTTATGCGGTCCACATTGATGAACTTCAGAGAGTGGGTAGTTTGAACCCCACCTCACTGCGGACCGCGGTACCAGTTTGTGCGGTCCGCGGTGGTTCCTTTGCGGCCGCACTGCATTTTATGCAGTCCGCAGTAATTGTTTTCAGGCATATTCTTCACTGATTCTTCTTCAACTGTGATACTAACAAGCTTTAATTGAATTCCACTTGCAGACAATTGTTAAATCCCGAGGAGGTGGTGAAAGACAAAAAGGAAAAGCTGAGTCCTCCCGGGGTAGGGGACGAGGAACAATCAAATTGACCCCCCAAGTCCGGAAAGCAATTGGAGAAACAAGGAGACTATTAAAGGTTGCGGATAGAGCTGCTTCCCATTCAGAGGGAAGTAATTATGTCCCCTCCCGGGAGGCATCTGAGTCTGATTCAGTGCCGGAGTATATTCTTGATTTCCCGGAGAGGTTGAGATTGAGAGATGAACCTACTCCTCACCGGGCTCTCCTACTGCTCGAGCTTCAGTTCAAATTTCTTTTGAGTCGTCTGAGGGCTCAGCTGAGAGCGGTGACAGTGCCTCTTCTACCTCACCTACAGCTTCACCACCCGGTGACGATCCCATAGAAGAAGAAGAAGAATGAGGGGGTGTGCCCCAAGTAGGAGGGGTGGAGAGAACTAGGAAACCGGAGGTTTGGCAAGATAGGTTTGTTAGTGAATTGGCATACCACAAGTTCAGAGAATGGTGGCCCGAGAGGAAGTTGATACTTGAACGGACCTTCATTGATAGGGACCTTTTGCTTCACAACCCTAACGTGAGGAGGAAGTTCAGAGAGAGAGTGGGCTGGGAATACTTCAAAGTCAATGTTGAGGATGCAAATGAGCACTTAGTTAAGGATATCTACACTAATGTTGCCCACATCAAAGAGGGCACTAAAGTGACTAAGGTGCGGAATTTGACAGTGAAGTTCGATGGGAAGACAATCAATAACTACCTGGGCTTTATGGAAGAAGATGAATCACTATATTTAGAGAAGGTAGCATTGACCGAGGCAGCCCGTCCGTGGGTAGCAGAGTACCTGGAAATCCCGAGTACCACCCCAGCATGGTTGACAGCAGGAGTCCAAATTTTGAGGAGGACTCTAAACTTCGAAGCAAAGGGTTGGGAGACGTTCGTATGCAGCAGTTTGGATCCCACTACACATGAGAACTCTCTGTCTATGTCTCGGGCAATCTTGGTGGCTTCTATCATGGCGGGGTACCCGATCAACGTCGAGAATGTGATGTCTAGGGTGATCACACGGGTGGTCAATGAAGGTGATAGATCATATCCCTTCCCAAATTTCCTGACTATGTACCTTGATGACTTGGAGGTGGAGAAGAGGAAGTTTGATGTGAAGGTGAAGCCAAAGGCGCCTTTTTCCTGGTACAGCCTACAGAGTGATGACAACCCCAAAGGCAAAGATCCTAAAGGCAAATCCACTGCTTCTACTGGCCAGTCTGAAGAGCAGGTAGTAGTAGTAGCTCCTTTTCAGCCCCCCTCAGCTACCCCAGATATTGCCCCAGGACCCTCTACTACCACTACCCCAGATATCCCCTCATATTCAGCTTACCCATTGACTGCCCACCGTTTGAGCCAGACCCTTTCTAGTATCAACAACTGGATGCAGGCAGCTACTTCTAAGCTGGCTGTGCTTTCTACCTCGGTGGCAACCTAGTCTGTACCCCCTCAGCCACAGGTTCCACAGTCAGTGGAGGATACTCTCAAGGAGCTTCTGAACAACCAGAAGAAGCTCCTGGAGAACCAGCGATTGATATTGACGGCTTTAGATTCTCATGGAAAAGAATTGAAGGAGCTGGCCAAGGAAACAAAGAAGCTGAGAAAGACCAGAGCATCAAGGGAGTCTGTGAAAGAGTTGAGGGTCGAAGTGGAGAAAATAAAGGCAGCTGATCACTTGCCTTTGGAGCTGCTATTGCATGACCCGACCCCAGCAGTCCAGCCTAAGCAGGAGCAGGATTTACAGAGGGAATCTAAGAGGAGAAGGGTGATTCCCCGTACTGATGATGCGGTGATTGAGTTGGCGGAGCCTCAGGAAGGTTCCTCTAGCCAGCCCCAGGTTCCAGTACAGGCCCAGGTCCCAGTGCAGACACAGGCTATAGGGATCCAATCACAGGTTCCCGAGCAGTCCGAGGACCCAGGGACCCAGGCTCATGATCCTATGCAGACGGAGGGCCAATAGGGAGTTTTCTTTACTCTCTATCTTTTTGTTTGAGCTATTTTTGGTTAGTTAGCATTAAGGACAATGCTAGCTTTCATTTGAGGGGGTAGCTCTATTTTGATGATATGGTGTTCTAAATATGATACTATTTCCCTTTTATTATGCTTTGATTTTCACTTTTGGTATGTACATAATTTTACCAGTTTATTTCACTTCTCATATTTTGCAACTTTTATCTGTATATAAAGTTACTTTCTGATGTATATATTCATTCCCTCTTATGTATATTCGTCTAAATCCCCTCTTGTACATATTCATTTTACTTTCCGCATTTTCTTTTATTAGCTTCTTATTTCATTTTTGTAGCTTCTTATTTTGAGTTTTGCGTTCAAATAAGCCTTTGGTTTTCTTTATGCCACGGTTCTTTCCAAAGGTGGAATTTGTGTGAACCGGGTGGCTCTTCCCGATGATGGATGGCATGACAACCTTCTTAAGGGTTTGAGTATGTTTTCTTTTTACTTTTGTGTAAATAGTAGCTAGTGAGTAATAGTGCCTCAGGCAAAGCTTCACTTGGGCCTAACACATTTGCCTTTGATCCTATGGTCAAAAACAAATTGGTGTGTATATGATGGTAATAATTGTTACCTTGAGACTCTTGTGTTGGCCGACAATCATCAAGTGGTTTTTCGGGACCATGTATGTTGCTCAAATCTTACCTAAGGTCGTTGGTGGGCCCTCGACTCTGTCTCTTTAGCAATCCTATAGCTTGTGTGGTGAGAATTTGAATTGCAAGTCCAAGTCTCGTGCTATTGAGTCTAGAACTTGCCCTGAATGTTTGTCTAGGCAAAATCCTAAGTGTAGTTTGACTTGAGAAGTGATTATAGGCTCTCCTTGATCCGAATGATATCTTGAAAACATCCATAGCCTACCAATGATAATGTCCCTAGTCAACCCCTTTGAGCCATAGCCCTTTTTCCTTCAAAAACCATGATACAAGCCTTTACCCGTTTTGAAAAGACCCGCTCTTGGCACCCAATCTTTCCTTAGCACATGGCAAAAGCATAAGTTTGGGGGGAGAGATGAGGAATGCAACAAAGTGGTAAAAGGTACAAAAGCGAAGAAAAGGAAAGGCAAAAAGAAAAAGAAAGAAAAATCAAAAAGTCAAAAAGAATGAACAATATAGAAGAAATGAAAGGATTCAATAAAAGTAAAGTGATGAAAGGCGTGGAAAGCTTAGAAAGGAGAAAAAGGTTTGAAATGAACAAGAAAGAGTGACAGTGTGTCTCTCTAACCCCTAAGAAAGAAGTAAATGACTTCAAAAGTCAAGAGAATGTGTGCCAAAATAAAGCAAATGAAGTGCTTAAGGGAAGATGGAACCTACTTAGACCAAATATTTCGTACCCTGAACCAAAAGCCTTCACTATATCTCCACAAAAGCCCTATATGATCTTGAGTTGAATGAAGCTTACATTAGTGGTGACTCACATAAAGGACAAGCTTATGGTACTTAGGGCCGGACTTGTGACCTTTCTTTGAGAGAGATGAGTGTGTTTTCCACAATTCTCGTTCTGAGTGCTACAACCTAAAAGTGAGGTTTGCTTGTGGAGAGTTGAGGAGTATGAGTTTGGGTTCCACAATGACCAAAGTAATAGAAAGAGCCTTTTTATGAGTTGAGTCAATCCTTGATGCTTTTGTGTCGCACTAAAACCATGGTGTTTAAAAGGTTGAATGTTGTTAATGATTCATTTGAATTGAGGGCAACTGTTAGTCCCAATTGATGCTAGATGAGGTCACTTTAGGTCACAACAGACCCACCGCGGCCGCAATCCATTTTATGCGGTCTGCGGTAAGGAGATTCAGAGAGGTGCAAAATTTTGGAAGCTCAAGCATTGCGGCCTTAAAGAATTTTGTGCGGACCCCAGTAGCCTCACCGCGGCCGCAATCCATTTTATGCGGTCCGCGGAGAAGAGATTCAGAGAGCTGGGATTTTAGAAGTCAGAAGCCATTGCGGCCGCAACACATTTTGTGCGGACCGCATTGAAGCCACCGCGGCCGTAGTGCATTTCCGCGGTCCGCGGTGGCCAGATTCAGAGACCTAAGAATTAAGCTAAAAAGCCTCACCGCGTCCGCGGTGCATTTTCCACGGTCCACGGTACCTCCGCAGGGGTATTTTTATCCAAAAAATCCGGCCTTGTATAAATAGTTCTCTTTTAGATTTTTAGGGCATCTAATTTTTTGCTGAGCACGTGAACGACTGTTTTTTACTACTTTGAGTAATTTCATAGTTGATTTATCATTGAATCTTCAATTATTAGCTTGTAAACATATCATATGGGTTATTCTTCATCTAATTATCTGTTTTCTTCCATTATTATGAGTAGCTAGTCCCATTAGCTAGGGTTGTGGCTCAACCCTAGTGTGGGTATTTGATGGGTCTTGTGTTTTAAGGCTTAGATATTTATGGGTGGTTGATATTTGGACTGATTTGTGTTTTCTATGTTGGGTTAGTGGTTGCAAAGACTAATTCGTGCCTATTTGACTTGAGCTCTTCTTGAGAAAGAGAGCTTGAGTCTAGGTAATCAGTCCAACAAGGAATTGGGGCGTACTCAAGAGATTGATAGCCCCAATTAAAGGGTTGAATCTAGAGATAGTAATACCTGACTTGAGCCTACATTGCTTGTATAATTTCGACACCCAATTGGTCTTGAGAAAGTCAATTTGGGCAAAGTCACTCAAGCTACCGAGAGGTATAGAGTGAGTAGCATCGTGCATTGGCTATATCACGATCCCAAACACAACAACTTTGCCTTAGACTCTAGATCCCGTCAAGTATTCACCTAGGGGGAAGTCACTTCCCTAGTGCCTCGTTACCTATTAGAAAACCTTTCAAGTACTTATTCTTAGTTTAATTTAGCATCTCATTAGTATATAAGTAGAAGTAATCAAAAGAACAATTATGATTGGAAGCGCAATTAAGAACCATACGCATTGTTAGTTTAGATAGGAATCCAATTCCCAATTCTAGCTCCCTGTGGATTCGATCCCGTCCTTTTCGGGTAAAAGCTGCATCGACCGCTCTCGCCACTCCATAGTGGTGCTGGGTTGGCCGCGATCAGTAGTAGGTCGTGATTTTTTCACCTTTTGAGCTGGGTGTTTTCCACGTAAAAATACTTGCGTTCTTTAATTTCTGCATTTATTATTCCGCCACAGTAGTATAAGGAACGCATAGATGAACCAGGTCCTTCTATAATCTGTGGACACGAAAAATTAGACACGACACAAATCACCCCCCTATGTGGTATTGAAGTATAAAACATCATTTGTATAAGAACAAACAGTAGAACAAAGACTAAATTCATGTAGTCATTTAAGGTCAAATAATAATATTTATGTTCTTTGAAGCTCTTACGAGACACGCTTTTCATTTTTGTGATTTTACCTTTAAGCGATTTTTTATCTCTTTCTAATTTCATACGTTTGTAACTTGTCCTATGAGTTATTTTATAGGAAAATAAAGATTTTTCTTCTTCACATAAGAACAAACAGTAGAAGAAAGACTAACTTTCTAATTAATGCAATCATTTAAGACAAATTCTTCAGGTTTTTTCCCTAAAATTTTTACTATCTTTTTTTAGATTTGGATTTAACCTAGATGCTTGGTTATTATACAATACATTAAGAAGTATTGTAGCATCTAGCCTCAAAGAGAATATTATACATTGAGGGATGATATATTGAAAAAAATTATAGATTAAAGCTCAACAACAACAACAATAACAACAACAAATTCAGTAGAGTCCCACAAGTGAGATTTAGGAAGAATAGTATGTACGTTGACCTTATCAGTATCCTAGAAAGATAGAGAGTCCGTTTCTGATAGACCCTTGGTTCAAAAAAGATGAAAAGAAATAATAGAAACAAGCAATATCAATAACAAAGGATAATAACAGCACTCTAAGAGTCGGAAAAATAGATGGAAGGAAGCAATAGGAACACCTAGTAACAACAACAAGATAACAAAAATCTGAAGCGGAAGATAGTAGGAAACAATATGTAATACTAGTAATCTAAGAACAATACACTACTAGACTAACCCTAATACCCCCGATACGGAATAGAAATATGATTGACTACCTACTACCCTTCTAACCTAATTCTCGACCTCCATACGCTCCTATCTAGAGCCATGTCCTTGGTAAGCTAAAGTCCCATCATGTCCCTGCCTGATCTCCTTTCCCTATATTTCTTTGGTTTCACTCTACCTCTTCTCATACCCACTAAAGCCAACCACTCGCACCTCCTTACTAGGACATCTAAGTTTCTCCTTTTTACATGCCCGAACCATCTAGGCCCCGCTTCCTGTATATTTTCCTCCACGGGGGCCACAACCACCTTTACCCAGATATCCTCATTCCAAAATTTATCCAACTTAGTATAGACTTAAACAATACCTATAATAACTACATCGGAAGCCTCCACCTCGGGTATGTCCTGACCTCCACTAGATTGATATCCACCTTTGGGATATGATAGGTTACAAGTACTTTGGTTATAAGTACTTTACTTTATGTTTTAATAATGTAACAAACTTACTATCCCAACCAGATAAGGAACTTGTTACACATTTACAAGACCTCAAGATCACAAGGTTCCAGGTTGGGATTCAACGTGGAATATGATTCAATTCTTCAGAGTGGAAGGAACAGCTGAGGGAACAGGTCTCTACCAGTTCCCGAGGAGACTGTACAAAGTCAACTCTCCAACTGGAAAGTTGCTGCCTGCACACGCTACAGTGCATGAACAGTGCTGCAGTCAACTTTCCAAGCAGTCAACTTTCCAAGGAAGACATTTTACCTACCTTGCTTGCATCATTGTAAGTGATGTCACACATGTATATATGCATTCGAGGGAGGTAAAACAAATCACTTAAACATTTGACAAGCTCACTCACGTGACCATTCAACAAGCAAGTTTCAAGTGCTTCAAGAACAAAGAACAAAGCAACTACGGACCAATTCCCACATTGAGTTATTGTATGTCCTTAGTTGAGTTGTAACTTAGTAATAGTTCTTCAATTGTAATTCCTATCTAGCTTGTTTAGAAGCATTCAGGAGGAAACCCTTGTAAACTAAACCTGTGTGTTAAGTCTTGGCTAGAGTTAGTCAAGTTGCAAAGTCTTTGTAATAGAGTTATTACAAAGTGGCTTGTAATAGAGTATTACAAGTTAGTGAGGGATTAAGAGTTTAATCCTAGGTTGCATAGGTTGTAATCTAAAAGTTTCTCAGTAGTGAAGTTGAAATCCTACAAGGGTAGGTCATGGTTTTTAATCCCATTGAGCTGGGAATTTTTCACGTAAAATTCCTCCTGTCATTTAATTTCTGCTTTGTGTGTGTGTACTGTCGAACCTCATAGAGAACATGGTTCACTATAGAGTTTGGTGGACCCTTGTATTCTATCAATTGGTATCAGAGCAGGTTCTTTCTATCAGGTTAACACCTAGAAAGGATCCTCATGGCTGCTCCTCCAAACTTTGAAGAAGGCCAGTCTACTTACAGACCACCTAGGTTCAATGGACAGTATTATGGATGGTGGAAAACTGGAATGCATGACTTCATCATGGCTGAAGATTCTGAGCTATGGGATGTCATATGTGATGGACTATTTGTTCCTACCAAAAACCTTGGTAGCCCACCAGTAGCCATTCCCAAGACAAGGAAAGAATTCAATGATCCAGATAGAAAGGCCATAGAGAAGAACTTTTGTGCTAAGAAATTCTGGTGTGTGGTATTGGACCTGATGAATACAATAGGATATCGGTATGTCAGTCAGCCAAAGAAATGTGGGAAGCCTTTCAGACAGCTCACGAAGGAACAACACAGGTCAAGCAATCCAAAATCAACATGCTCACAACTGAATACGAGCTTTTCAGGATGTAAGACGATGAATCTGTCCAAGAAATGCATACTCGGTTCACCTCCATCATTAATGAGCTTCACACCCTTGGTGAAACTATTCCAAGGAACAAGCTGGTTAGAAAGATCCTAAGCGTGCTACCTATTCTTGGGAAAGGCAAAGTGAACGCCATTACATATGCGAAAGGACTTGCAGGAGCTAACTATTGATGAGCTTGTTGGCAATCTAAAAACATATGAAATGAAGAAGAAGAAAGACAGTGAAAGAAGAGAGCCCAAAAAGGAGAAGAACCTGGTCCTCAAAATAGAAAACAACGAGTCAAGTGGTGAAGATGGTGATATGGAATACCTAACAAGAAGATTCCAGAAGATGGTTCGCAGGAATGGAGGCATTCCAAAAAGGAGAAGTTCTAGCAAGCCAAAGAATTATGATCTCTGTCATAAATGTGGCAAGCCAGGACATTTCATCAAGGGTTGACCTCTCCTAAAGTAGGATCAGTACAAGAACAACTCTAACATAGCAGCCAAAAGGAACCTGGTTCTTGATAGACGCTTCAATAGAAAAAATGCCGCTAACAATGTCGTGAGACAAGCTCTTGCAGCATGGGGAGATTCTTCAAGCGAATCTGGAGAAGATGATGAACCAGGTAACAGCTCTATGATGGCAGTAGAAAGTGAATCAACTGAGTATGACTCAATTTTTGCTTTGACGGCCCAGTCTGATGATGAAGATGACGATGATAATGAGGTAAATTTTCTGGATGTTCAGAAAAATCTAAAATCATATTCTCCTAAGAAACTCATGTCTTTGGCAAATGTGCTAATCGACGCTTATCATAGTCTTATAAATGACATAGATGTCTTTACAGTTGAACTAGGAGAAGCAGAACAGTCTATAGATGACCTAGTAATAGTTGTAGTTGATCTAAGAGAGTCAATTGAGAACCTGAAGAAAGAAAGAAATGTCTTAAAGAAAGGATTAAAAATGTAGAACAAGAAAGAGATGACCTTCTAGTGGTAGTAATGGACTTGAAGGAAACCATTGGGAAACCTACAATGGAAAGTAGGGCTGAAAATTATCAAAAAGGAAAGGAAGTTGCAAGCGAGGCACACATTAAGCTTGAAAATGAGCTAAATTCAGTGCAGTTTAGTCTGTGTGCTGAGCTTGATAAAAACAAACAACTTCAGGAAGAACTAGGTAAAGTGAAGAGTGATCTTGAAAAATAACACAAGTGGACCTGGTCCTCTGATGCTATCACTGCCATGTACTCCAACAATGGGGAAAACATGCAAGGGATTGGGTTTCAAAGAGAAAAGATTCCTTACAACCCTTATAGCAAGTACGCTACTGTACCTGACAATTGGCTTTGCACCCACTACGGTAACAATGGGCACCTTAAAGAAAACTGTAACGCCAGATGTCAGTCACGGCAGAAAAACAAATCCTTTGCTGAAAAAGTAACTACTAGTAAAGAACCTGGTCCCTCATTTAAAAAATGCATAATGCCTGCATGGACCAAAAGATCCCTTATTCAACCCTTTCCTCATTACAAGGGACCCAAATTGGCTTGGGTTCCTAAAGCTAACTCCTAATCTTCTTGTGCAGGGAACAGTGAAAGGAAGCAGCCTACAATGGTACATGGATAGTGGCTGCTCAAATCATATGACTGGAAGTACAAATCATTTCCTTTCACTAAAGGTCCTGCAAAGAGGGAGTGTATCCTTTGGGAATGGAAAGAAGAGATACATTCTGAGAGTTGGAAGGATTGGGAAGTCTCTCTCTCTCACTCAATCAAAAATATGTACTACGTGAACGGATTGAAGTACAGCTTACTAAGCATTTCCCAAATCTGTGACAAGGGGAACAAGGTGGAATTTGTGTCAAAAATCTATACAGTTACAAACCTGGTGACGGGCGAGGTGGTGCTAGTGGCAAAAAGATACAAGAATATCTATGTAGCTGATTTTGAATCGCTGAAGAATGGTGATCTAAGTTGCCTAAGCGCTGTTGACGATGATACCGAGCTGTGGCATAGGAGGCTAGGTCACGTAAGCTTCACGTTGTTAAACAAATTAGTAAGGAAGGACCTGGTTCGTGGTCTGCCCAATTCAAGCTTCAAGGATCACAAAGTGTGTGATTCATGTGTAAAAGGGAAGCAAGTCAGATTTTCATTCAAGCCCAAAAAGGAAATTAGCACCGCAAGGCCACTTGATCTCCTTCACATGGAATTATGTGGACCTATGAGGGTGCCAAGCAGAGGAGGAAACAAGTACATCTTTGTAATAGTTGATGATTATTCCAGATTCACCTGGACCTTGTTCCTCAGGACCAAGGATGAAACCTTTGAAGTGTTTGTTGCCTTTGCCAAAAAGATCCAAGTGAAGATGGGTAATAAAGTAGCCTGCATCAGGTCTGATCATGGGACGGAGTTTGACAATGTCAAGTTCGATGAGTTCTACACTGAAAATGGCGTTACTAACAATTTTTCCGCTCCAAGAACACCCCAACAAAATGGTGTTGCGGAGAGGTTGAATAGAACTCTTGAAGACATGGCAAGAACAATGCTAATTGACAGTGGGATCGCAAAGTATTTCTGGGCAGAAGCTGTAAATACTGTGTGCTACTTGGTAAACAGGTGCATGATCAGGTCCCTTCTAAACAAAACTCCATATGAACTGCTGAATGGAAGGAAGCCCAAGCTGACACATCTAAGAACTTTTGGGTGTAAAAGCTGTGTTCATAATAATGGAAAGGAAGCTCTTGGGAAGTTCGATGCCATAAGCGATGAAGGAATCTTTCTAGGATACTCATCTCAAAGCAAAGCTTACAATTTTTACAACAAAAGGACTCAATGTGTAGAAGAATGCATTCATATGATCTTTGATGAAGCTCACCTCTCCTGTGAAAAGGACAGACATGTTGATCAAGATGGAGAGCCCTTATCTGTTCCAGGTGAAGTAATTGATATGGCAAATGGAAAGGCAGACATGATGAACTATGTCAAGGAATCCAGTGAAGAAGATGCAAATACATCTCCATGAATTGGAGAGGAACCTGGTCCCCCGATTACAACAATTGAAGCTGAAAATAGAGTTGTTGATGCAGTCCAAGGAACTCCACTCTGTGAAGTAAGAAGTGCTCAATAATACCAGTTAGATATGACTGATTCCTCTACCAATGAGACTCAGGCACCAAATTGGAGATTCAAACTTCACATCCTCTTGACAACATAATCACTCCTCTTGACTCAAGAGTTCAAACCAGATCAAAATCAAGAAACTCACTTGTCTTCTCAGCTTTTCTTTCCCAAATAAAGCCCAAAAATATAAAAGAAGTGCTGAAAGATGCAGACTGGATCACAGCTATGCAAGAGGAGCTGCATCAATTTGAAAGGAACAAGGTATGACACTTGGTTCCTCGACATGCTTATCGAACCATTATAGGAACCAGGTGGGCATTCAGAAACAAAATCGATGAGTTTTGAAATACAACAAGAAACAAAGCAAGGCTTGTGGTTCAAGGCTACAATCAGGAAGAAGGGATTGATTATAATGAAATGTTCACCCCTGTATCTCGAATGGAAGCCATTAGAATTATGATTGCCTTTGCATCTCATATGGAGTTCAGACTGTTCCAAATGGATGTAAAAAGTGCATTTCTAAATGGCTATTTGAAAGAAGAAGTCTATGTCAAGCAGCCTCCTAGTTTTGAGTGTCACGAACACCCTGATTATGTGTTTAAACTAGATAAGGCATTGTACGGGTTAAAACAGGCTCCCAGGGCTTGGTATGAAAGGCTGTCAAAATTCCTTCTGGAAAATGGCTTTGCAACAGAGAAGATTGACAACACTCTTTTCTAAAGAAACGAGGGAGGAACCTACTCATTGTTCAGGTGTATGTTGATGATATCATCTTTGGAGCCACAACTGACTCTCTCTGTGAAGAATTTGCTAAACTCATGGGGAGTGAATTTGAGATGAGTATGATGGGAGAACTGAATTTCTTCCTAGGGCTTCAAGTGAAACAATCTAAGAAGGGAACATTGATAAATTAGCAAAAGTACATCAAGGAGCTGTTGAAAAGGTTTGATATGGAAGCCTCAAAAGTTATCGACACGCCCATTGCAATAGCTACTCGTCTAGACATGGATGAACCTGGTTCACCTGTAAACCAGACCATGTATAGAGGGATCATAGGGTCACTATTGTATCTCACTGCAAGCAGACGAGACATTGTTTTTAGCGTGGTTCTTCGTGCAAGGTTTCAATCCAATCCAAAGGAATCTCATCTGAAGGCTGCTAAGAGAATACTGAGATATCTCAAAGGAACACAGGACCTGGTCCTCTATTATCCCTCTGGAGACAGCTTTGATCTTATTGGGTACGCTGATGTTGATTATGCTAGATATCTGGTGGACACGAAAAGCACGTCTGAGATGGCACACTTACTGGGTTCCTGCTTAATCTCATGGGGTACAAGGAAGAAGAATTCTATGGCACTTTCAACTGCAGAAGCTGAATATGTAGCAGCTGCCTCTTGCTGTGCTCAACTTTTGTGGATCAAGCAACAATTGGAAAATTTCGGAGTATTCTCAGACTGTGTGCCTCTTTTATGTGATAATACTAGTGCACTCAACATGGCAAAAAATCCAGTACAACATAAGAGTACCAAGCACATTGATGTACATCATCACTTCCTCAGAGACAATGTTGAGAAAGGGCTTATATGCATGAAATTTTGCAGCACTGAAGACCAAATTGGAGATATATTTAGCAAAGCCCCAAGCAGAGAAAACTTCGAGCAAAACGTCTGGCATTGAGGTTGATATAAACCAATTGAGAACCCGGTCCCTCAATAATTGGCTATGAAAGAAAGGTTCAGGTAAACTTAGCTAAAAGGTGTTTTCTGGAAAAGTCTAACTCATCTCTATACTGTTACAGGTAGACACGCGTGATGATTACAGAGCAAATAAGCATTTGAGGTTGTATACACTGGTAAAAAGGGCAAAGCTTACAGACAAGAGATCAGTCAGGGAACATGGTTCTCCTGACACAGGTTAGTAGTTTCTATGTTCTCTCATGCACAATTCTGAACAATTAAAACAAGTGCCACATCATTAGCATGTCATCTTTTAGTTTTGCATCTTCTAAACCCAAAGCCTCACCAGTTATAAATCGACCCATCTCCCTAAAACCTGCCGCCCTTTTTCTAACCAATCCCTCTGTCATCATAAATACATCTATCCCTGTCACCGCACTTCAAACATCAACACTTCCCAACCTGTTTCCTATTCATTCTCTCTTCAATTCACCCAATCTTCTCTTCTTCTCACCATGGCTGAAGATCAAACGATCTCTAGTACTATCGAGTCCTCACCAGTCGAAACACCAGTGGTAGACTCTCCTCCTCACATTACTAATAACCAAAACCCCATAACAGAGTCATCCCCACACTCCATCTCCTCTCCTACCCATTCGAGTCCCTGCTCTCACAAAAGTCACCAAGCATAAACTCTCGCAGGAGGTGTTTCCCATAGCTCGTCTCTTACCTCGCCAGAAAAGAGGGATGTCACGAATATTGCTGAGAATGAAGAAAATCAAAAATATCAAGTTCTCCTATAGAAGAAAAGTCAAAAGCAGATCAGGTTGCGAGAAATTAAGTCATTGACTCAACAAAGACTACTCCCGAACCCCAGTCCACAGGTGCCTCTCCTACTTCTCCTGAGCTTCTCATGAATCTGCAAGAAAAGGAAGCAATCGAAAATATGTTGTCCATCGCGAATAAAGGGGTTATTGTTGGAGGAAGTGAGGATGGTNTGCTAGGGATAGAGAGGAGAAGGAGGCCAAGAGGTCTCGAGAGTCGGGCCATTATTCTGGTGCCCGTGCCCCAGCTGCAGGTCGTCATGGTAAGTGTTATATGAGTCGCCCTATTCATTCAGCTCTTCCAGCAGCCAGTGGTATTCCAGCTCCACCTAGGCCTCAGGATCCTTAT